TGTCCCCGTGTCACTCACGTCACACTCGTTGCAGTAGTACGCCGGCTCGTCCTTGACCCGGCCCTGGTACGCGATTTTCTTCCCCGCGCGCACGAGGCTCTCGCGCTGCACCTGGCAGTGCTTGATGGACTGCAGGAGACAATACCTGAGAGGGGACAGCAATGTCACCAACGTCACCCGTCACCAACGTCACCTGGCAGTGCTTGATGGACTGCAGCAGGCAGTGCCTGACAGGGACAGTGACACTGATGGCACTGATGCCACCTGTCAGCCACCATCGGGGACAGGGCCGCCGCTGTCACCCCCCACCCCCCCCATCAGGACAGCATCACCGGGGACAGGGCTGTCACCTGCTGCCACCGCTGTCACCCACCACGGGGACACCATCACCAGCGACACTGTCACCCGTGGTCAACCCACTGCCACCAGCCATCGGGACAGTGTCACCTGCTGTCACCCACTGTGAGGACACTGTCACCAGGGACGCACCCCGCGTGGGCCACTCAAGCCACCAAGTCCCCTTGTCCCGCTGTGTCCCTGTCCCTGTGTGTCCCCAGGTGTCCCCAGGTGTCCCCAGGTGTCCCCAGGCTCACTTGATCATCTTGTAGAGGTCGGGGTCGCTGATCTTGACGGTCCTGGCCACGTTCCAGGACACGTGGATCATGGGCACGATGGACTTGACGTTCTTCACCTCGTTCCACTCGTAGCGCTCCAGGGCCAGCTGGTACTGGTACGCTGGGGACAGTGGGGACAGTGGGGACATTGGGGACAGTGGGGACGTTGGGGACAGTGGGGATGTCACGGCCACCGCGCCCCCTGACCCCCCCCAGCCCCTCCCCGGGGTGCTCGTGGCAGTGCCGTGGTGTTCTCACATGTCCATGGTGTGTCCCCAGTGTCCCCATTGTCCCCTCAATGTCCTCAGTGTCCCCTCACCCGTGAGTGGCCCCACATTCCAGGCGATGTTGTTGTCCCCCATTGTCCCCAATGTCCCCAGTGTCCCCATTGTCCCCAATGTCCCCAATGTCCCCAATGTCCCCAGTGTCCCCTCACCCGTGAGTGGCCCCACGTTCCAGGTGATGTGGTCCCCCCAGTGTCCCCAGTGTCCCCAATGTCCCCAGTGTCCCCATTGTCCCCAGTGTCCCCAGTGTCCCCAGTGTCCCCTCACCCGTGAGTGGCCCCACGTTCCAGGCGATGTTGTTGCACCAGCCCGTGGCCTGCACCCAGTGCACGGTGCCGGCGTTGATCCACACCAGGTCCCCGGGGCGCTGCACGAACCGGTACACCGGGATGTTGGAGCGGTACAGGTCCTCCAGGATGGGCCACCACGAGCCCGTCAGGTAGTCCACGCCGTGCCTGCGCCGGGGGCGTGGTCAGCGACACGCTGGACACGCCCACAGAGCCCCACCCCCTCCTTCCCCAACCCGAAATTCCGCCCCGTGGATGGAAAAGGGGGGGTGGCCACGCCCCCCGCGTGTAGCCACGCCCATGCAATAGCAGGGCACGCCCACTGACTCCACCCAGGCCACACCCCCAATAATTAACACTAATTATGGTGTTGGCTTCTTAATGAAAGTCCCACCCCTTTTACCCCATCCACTTCATGCAGACCCCACCCCCTTCCCTAGGTCACGCCCCATTCCCCAGACCCCTCCCTGTTTTCTTAAGCCCCTCCCCTTTCCCAGGCCCCGCCCACCTGTCCCAGAAGGCAGAGATGGTTTCCCAGCAGCGCTGCCCCAATAGTCCCGCCCCTTTTTATGCAGACCACACCCCTTTCACACAAACCACGCCCCCTTTTATGCAAGCCCCGCCCACCTGTCGCAGAAGGCAGAGATGGTTTCCCAGTAGTGCTCGTGCACCGCGAACCACTCGCAGTCGCCGGGGCCGATGTTGATGTTCACTGAGCAGAAGTTGTTGTTCTCCTGGTGGCCTGCGGGGGACGCTGTCACTGTCACCTCCTGTCACCCCCAATGGGCTGTCCCCACCGCTGTCACTTTTTGTCACCTCCCGCCGTCCCCTCATTGTGAGCACAAGGGTGGGTGGGGACATTGAAATGTCACCTGGTGTCCCCCACCCATCAATGTCACCGTCTGGTGTCCCCTGGGTGTCACGCCCACACTGTCCCTGTGTCCCCAATCCTCCCAAAACACATCTGGATGGTGCTCAGCACCTGTGTCCTTGTGTCCCCAGTGTCACCTGTGCTGTCACCACTCCTGCCCTGTCCCCACCCATGCCACCCCCACATTGTCCCCATGTCCCTTCCCAGCCCCAAAACGCTCCCCAGACACCGCTGCCAGCACAACACAGCTGCTCCGTGCGAGGTCCCCAGGTGTGCTCAGGTGTCCTGCCCTGCCCTGTCCCCACCTGTGCCACCCCCAAAGTTGTCCCCATGTCCCTTCCCGCTCCCCAAACGCTGCTGCCGCCACAGCGTGGTTGCTCAGTGCAAGGTGTCCCCATGTCCCCAGGTGTGCCCAGGTGTGCCCAGGTGTGCCCAGGTGTGCCGTGGCTCACCGGGGGTGCGGCTGCCGGGCACTTTCATGTAGAGCTGCACGGTGTTCATGCCCAGGATGGTGTGGCCCACGTGGCTCAGCATGTTGCCCGTGGAGGACACTCGCATGAAGGCCGGCAGCTTCAGCAGCTCCTGCAGCTGCGGCTTCCACCTGCGGGCACAGGGGACACGGGTGGCACCTGGGGGGTGGCACCCACCTGAGGGCATCACCTGCCCCGGGGGAACCACACCCTGTCACCTGTGAGTGGCCCTGAGGCCCACACTCAGCCCCCCAGGTGTCCCTGCAGCACCCACAGGTGACCCTGACACCTCCATTGTCACCTGAGAGTGGTCCTGACCCCCCCCCATTGTCACC